CTCCCCACTCCTCTTCCCTCTCTTCCTCCCTTCTCTCTTCTCCCCACTCCTCTTCCCTCTCTTCCTCCCTTCTCTCTTCTCCCCCCTCCTCTTCTCTCTCTTCCCTCTCCCTTCCCTCTTTTTCCTCTCCTTTCTCTCCTCTCCCCCCCCTTCCTCTCTTTCAGGCCCCAAGGAAAATCTTACCTTTTCTTCACCCAGTTTAAAGCTGAAATGAGAGGAGCAAAGATCCAGCACGCCATGGCTTATGTGAGTCGCACCTGGAGGGGGCCGGGGGAAGGGGGTGTCCGTAGCCCAGGGTTTGTGGGCCAGTTTGAAACGAGGGGGTTCCTTTCCCTCCTCCCGGTTTACGGCTTTCTACCACATTCTTGGCCCTCGTTACGTTTTCTGCTGACCGCTAGGAGGCACCACTCATCCAGCTTCACCCTTCTGTTGGGACTGATGAGGTACACAGGTATACCTTATACAGGTAGCGTTCGACCTACGGCCATCATTGAGCCCAAAATTTATACTGCGAAGTGAGAAACTTTATTAAGTGAGTTTTGCCCCACTGCTGTCAGGATTCCGGCAGTTACCCCTATTTAAATCACGAGTCTCGAGCCAAACTTCCAAAACTTAAAAAGGATTTATTGGGAGTTAACATGCCGGCACTGCCTGGATGTAGCCGACTCTGAGACCCATAGTTCATTGTCACCCCTTGACCCTGTTTTTTCCCCCTCCCCTGGGTGTATCGTAATTCATATCCTCCAATGGGACACCTCCATAGCCCAGAGTCATCAATCATGCTCTCCAGTTAGATATTTGCGGGGCAGAAACTTCAGTCACCTAGCTACTATCTTTGCAAACATTGAATGGAATGCAGTTTCTATTTCCAAGTTGCCACACTTCTCCCCCCTCCCTTTCTGTTGGCAACTCTCAAAAGACCAGAGAAATATTTTATGAATTGACACCCATTTTATGACTCTTTTTCGCCACGTTGGTTGACCCCCTCAGGACAGGCATCATAAACCTGAGCCAGTGAAGCATCCGCGTGTAAATGCAACAGTCATCAATGGGAAAGAACAATCCCGAGTCCCTTTTTTCAGTGCCGTTGTAACTTTGAGCGGTCGCTGTGTGAACTGTTGGAAGTCGAGGGCTGCCTGCCTACGTGGTATATGCAATTCAAGGACAAAAGTGGTCTTAGAGCGAGCGCCTTCGAATGGTCCGTAGTAAATAAAACATACAAAAAAGGCCATAAACGTTCCACAGGGGAAGGCTCCTGAGGCCTTTGCTAGGGGCCCCAGAAAGGACAAACTGTGATAAGACAGAGCCAATGGAGAAGCGCAACCAAAATGATGAGGGGACTGGAGGCTAAAACGTAGGAAGAACGGTTGCAGGAATTGGGCATGTCTAGTCTAGACCAGGGGTCCCCAACCACCGGGCCACGGACCGGTACTGGTCCGTGGAACATTTCCTACCGGGCCGCCGGTTTGCTGGGTGCCGCCATCTTGTTTGATGAGAAAGTGCTTCCAGTGAGCTTTTCCGGTTGGAAAGCGGCATTTGGGTCCTGAAGGAATCCTCGCGCCTTAGTTTCATCGAAGGGGGGGGGCAGCTTCGAACGAAACTAAGGCGCGAGGATTCTTTCAGCACCCAGGCAAGGCGAGCCGAGCGACCGTCCCGAAGCCGTCCCGAAGCGAAGCCCATCGACAAAGGTACAAAGGAGGAGTTGACGGTGGCGGGGAGAAGCGGGAGACGGCCGGCTGGCCCGTCGCTTGGCTCGCCTTGCCTTGCCTTGGTCATGCGCACTGATGCCAGTACCGGTCCGCGGATCATTTTGTGATGCCGGTACCGGGCCGTGGCACAAAAAAGGTTGGGGACCACTGGTCTAGAGAACTGGGACGTGGTGGCTAAGAGGCTGAGCTTGTCGATCAGAAAGGTCAGCAGTTCGAATCCCCGGCGCTGCGTCACGGAGTCAGCTCCCGTTCCTTTGTCCCACCTATTGCCAACCTTTCTACCCCACAAATATCTAACTGGAGAGCATGATTGATGGCTCTGGGCTATGGAGGTGTCCCATTGGAGGATATGAATGACAATACACCCAGAGGAGGGGGAAAAACCAGGGTCAAGGAGTGACAATGAACTATGGGTCTCAGAGTCGGTTACATCCAGGCAGTGCCGGCATATTAACTCCCCATAAATCCTTTTTAAGTTTTGGAAGTTTGGCTCGAGACTCGTGATTGAAATAGGGGTAACGGCCGGAATCCTGACAGCAATGGGGCAAACGTGTTTGAAAACACGTTAAAAAGAAAAAAAGCAAATAGAAAAATAGGGACCCCTTTGGCGGGAAACGAACAGCGTTCCGTGCGCCTTCAAAGGTGTTTCGTCATGCCGGCCCCAGGGCCGCGGAGATGCCTTTGGACAGCGCTGGCTCTTCTTCGGCTTAGAAACGGAGATGAGCGCCGTCCCGCCAGAGACGGAAATGCCTAGCACGTATGTGCGAGGGGAACCTTTACCTTTAGCTAGTCTAGAGGAAAGAAGGACTAGGGGTGACATCATAGCAGTCTTCCAATATCTCAGGGGTTGCCCCAAAAGAAGAGGGAGTCAAGCTATTCTCCAAAGCACCAGAAGGCAGGACAAGAAGCAACGGATGGAAACTCATCAAGGAGTGAAGCAACTTAGAACTAAGGAGAAATTTCCTGATAGTTAGAACAATTGATCAGGGGAACAATTGGCCTCCAGATGTTGTTAAATGCTCCAACACTGGAAGTTTTTAAGAAGAGACTGGACAACCATTTGTCTGAAATGATACAGGTTTTCTGGCTTGAGCAGGGGGCTGGACTAGAAGATCTCCCAGGTCCCTTCCAGATCTGTGATCAATAAACTCTCTAGTTCGAAAGGGTAAATAATGAGGAAAAAAACGGTGTCCCTCAACTGAAGGAGAATTAAAATGACAAGAGTTGTAAGGGGCCTTCGAGGTCTTCTAGTCCAACCCGCTGCTTAGGCAGGAAACCCTACACCTCTTCAGGACAATGGTCGTCCAACCTCTTCTATAAAAATTTCCGGTGTTGGTGCATTTACAACTTCTGCATACATTTGTCGCTGCGCTCCTGGTTACAAAGCTTAGTCTATTCTTGGTTCCCCGCCACCCGATCACCTAAGAGTATAGGTCTCGTTTTTAAACATCCCATCGATACTTTAAAGAGCCCCCGCCCTCAAGTGCATGGCTGTTCTCAGCCACATCTGTTTGGCTCCCTCTCCGCCATACCTCACAGCCTCCAGAGCTGGGTTTTTTTCAACCTCTGCTGAAGATATGTGGACTTCAGTTAGCAGAATTCATCAGCCAGCTTGCTGCCTGGAACATGTTTGGGGTTGAAGTCTACCCATGTTGACTAGGGAATTCTGGGGGTTGAAGTCCCACCAAGTTGACTAGGGAATTCTGAAGGTTGAAGTCCCACCCTGTTGACTAGGGAATTCTGGGGGTTGAAGTCTACGAATTCTGGGGGTTGAAGTCCCACCCTGTTAACTAGGGAATTCTGGGGGTTGAAGTCTTCCCTTGTTGACTAGGGAATTCTGGGGGTTGAAGTCCCACCATGTTGACTAGGGAATTCTGGGGGTTGAAGTCTACCCATGTTGACTAGGGAATTCTGGGGGTTGAAGTCTGCCCATGTTGACTAGGGAATTGTGGGGGTTGAAGTCCCACCCTGTTGACTAGGGAATTCTGGGGTTGACATCTATTCTGATGATTCATCCATGCTGGCTGGGAAATTCTGGGAGTTGAAGACCACATACATCAACTTGTGAAAGTTGTGAAACCCTACTCTAGAAGATTTCTTTGGGTGCACAGTTATCTCGACTGGTTTAATCCCATGGTTTAGGCTGCCATGTTGACTTTTTTGAACCTTGTCAACACCTGGGCTCACTTCCCTCTTGTCTCAGAGACAGGTCATTAAAATAGTAGGGGTGGCGTCGAGCCGTTTGGATACTGACTGACGGGTTAATTTCTTTCAGTCCTCGGCTAGCGTCGGAGGACAAGACGATGTCCCATTAAAAGAGGAGGAATTCTTGGTCACAGAGCAGGCAGGTGAGTTGGTTTATTTATTTATTTGTAACATCTAGACAGCCTCCTGTCTTTCAAACCACTCAGGGAGGCTCCTAATCAAAAGTTAAAAAGATACACAATATCATGTTAAAACGGTAAAACTTAAATCGATTAAAACTTTTGTTAGTTTGTTAGCAATCGATGCCCAGATAAGCGGAGATTAACACTAGAATTAATACTAGATCAACAATCAAATGATAATTAGTAGAGGCAAGGAACTATCAACTGAAGACAAATAATCAAACAGTAAACAATAGCCTATCAAGGAATAGAGTAGAGTAGAGTAGAGTAGAGTAGAGTAGAGTAGAGTAGAGTA